CCCAGTATTCTCAGGAGAAGGCCATGCCCACACAGAACCCTCATTGACTATCACCTGATTGACAGACTAAACTCCACCCCTTCACTCTTATCTTCTTAGAACTGACACGAGATTATGTAACCACCACAAGGCGCACTGCTTCCTCGTTTTCCCCTGCCATGCTTCCTTCCTTCCTGGCAGGGCTAAAACTGTGAGGGCCAGGGAACCTGTCTACACACTGCGCAGAGCTAAGGTCACAGTAGGCTTGAGGTAACAATGGAATTTACAAGCAAGTCTTCTCTGAGTCCCGGTCAGCAGGCCGAGGGAACAATAATAAGTAGATATGGGTGACACAGTGTGTTGGGGGCAGAGCAACATGGGGCACACAGTTAGCAGGGTTGAGGGGCTGCAAAGGCCCTGAAAAAAGCTTTGGAGGTTTGTTTGGGGCCTTTGAAAGCCTTATTTGGGTGTCTCATAGCCTCTCCCCTGGCGGAGTTCCCAAAGCTGGGAAGACTGGGCACTTTTCCTAGGGTCGACAAGCAAGCCTACTGCTGACGTAGCTCTAGTTAGTGCGCCCAGCATCTGAATCGAATGTGATGCTGAGACAGTCATTTCTTCTTTTGTCCACATTCCAAAAGAATGAAAGGGTCTCCTCCTCACCCCTCCTTCCCTTTGTTTAGGGAAGATTTGTTCTTACCTTTATTCAATAGAGGGACTTCTATGGTGGCGTGTGGGTGGGTGCACATCGGACTTAGCACGGAGCCCTTTTGGATACTGAGTCCGTACGTGACTAGCTTCACGTTCAGGCCAAGTGGAGGTTGGGTGATGATAAACACTTAAAGAATGAGTGGAAGGCTCTTGAATGCTAAGTGTAGACCTTTGGGAGTGTGCTGCAGACGATAGAAGACCACGGTTTCACGGCTCTGCTCGATACTCGCCTTCATGAAGGGATCCCTGAGGAGAAGGAAGCAGACGCAAAGTGTGATGAAGAAACTAGACGGTGCCCGGCTATCAATCGGAATCGTGTCTGGGGTCTTGAAGACTGTAGGCAAACAAGCGGCCAACTAAGTGAGCTGTCAACTCCATCCACATCAAAGAAGCACCCCAGCCCCTGTGATCCCAAGGTGACGATAACAAAATCCAAATACGATGAAGGGAAAAGTACCAGAGCTTAAATTGCGAACACCCAATTTGTAAAAAGCTGTGAATGACAGTGGGGGCTCAAAATCCGCCTGCAGCGTATCTAGTCGGATTAAGTCTCTGGAAGATCCCCTCTGGCCACAGGCGAGGGTCTCAGACAGCTTCACTATCAGACAGAGATTATGGTAACTTGATTATGGTGGATCGAACCACAGTATATATAATATACAGTATATATAATATACAGTATATATAATATAATTGGTCAGTTGACCTCCTTCTTGACCCAACCTGAATTTGCTTTAGGCTTAATATTTCTCGCTTGTTCCATGACAGAAATAGCCTCTCTGGCTTTTAAAATATTGTTGTTGGTCTTTTTTTCCTTAATCTTTATTTTCACCTTTACCTTATTATTTTCTTCTTTCTGTTTCATTTTAAAAAATTGTTTCTGTGAGGTTTTCCAGTTTATGAAGCACAGAAGGAGTGGCTGCACAGAGACAGTAACTGATGCGAGGGTTTATTGGGGCCAGGGAATGGGGTGGGAGGGTGAGAGGAATTGGGGAGCAAAGAATGAACGTGGGAGGGAGGGATCATCAGAACGATTGTGGTGATGTATATATAACTTTTTGAAAGTGATTTAATGATTTGTATTATATGTACATATTATAGCAATAAAACTACCAAAAAAGAAAAAGAAAAAAGAAACCATGGTTATCATGGGTGAAAGAGGAAGAGTTTTTGCTTAGGGAGCATTGAGTTTATGTTAATGGTGGTGGAATAATTTGGAAAAGGGCATCAATAATCATTGCATTACATGAAGAATATGATCAACGACACTGAGTTATACATTATTGAATCAGAAAACATTTTGTCGTGCATATTTTTGCCACAATTAACAAAACCTATTACATTAATAACAGTAAATGCAAGGAAGAAGAAGATGTTCTAAAATTGAGTGTGGTAAGGATTATACAACTTGATATGATTGAACTATTGAATTGTATGATACGTGGATTGTGGTCATCACATAACCTCCTGTCAACTTGAAGGTATTATGAGTGAAGGGGTGGAGTCCAGCCTGTCAGCCAGGTCATAGCCAATGAGGCCTCTGTGTGGGCATGGCCTTTCCATGATTCTGAGAACGTCATCTTTTCCTCCCTGGAGGTGGGGCACACTCTCTCTCTGCTACACATGCCTGTTGAGAAGCTGCATAGAGCCACGCTGATGGCGGCCAGAGCCCTGGAGCTGGAGGAGCCACGTGGAGACCTGCACCAGGGCTGAGATGCTTCCACCACCACTGGATCCACCACTGGATCTGCCACTGGATCCACCACTGAACCCTCCACGAGCCTGTGATCTTCCTACATTTGGCATCACTGCATGTGCTGTGTGAGTCTAAAGAGGAAGTTATTGGACATACGGGCTAATATCGGACTTACGGACTTGATCTGGACTAGGCTGGGATGTTTTGTCCATATACAATTGCTTTTTGTTAGAAAGCTCTCTCTTAACACACCTGTGAATGTCACTGGCTTTGTTTCTCGAGTCAAACCAGTCCAGCACATGGATGAAGTGCCCACAAAACCGTCCAAGGAAAAGAAAAGAAGGCGGCATCGTTTCAGTTATCATTTTCCAGGGACACGTGAACAGCCCCCAGCCAAGGCTCAGCACGTAGAGAAGCAACAGGGTCACTAGAAAGAGCAGGAGCGTAGTCATGTTGAGGGAATGTGAGTCCCAGCTCTGCCTCGTTGGGGTTGTCAGAACCCTGCTTCTGCCGGGGTCCTCAGTCTCCTCGTGCAAGAACAGGAGAGAGAGACATCTTCTTCAAAACCCGCAGTAGGTGAATCCGCGGTGGCAGACCTCTTTAGGGCACAGAGAGGCAAGGATGTTACTTTAAGGACTAAGGCATTCCCGACCCACGCCGTGGTCTTTTCCACTGCCTCATGTGCATCTGAAAGTTGGACATCGGATGCGGAAAACCGAAGCAGAAGCGATGCGTGTGAATGGCGACGCTGGAGACAAAGATTGAAAGTACCAGGGACCCTAAAAGGACCCCTCGACCTGTACTGGGAGCAGTAAGGCCAGAGTGCTCCTTAGAAGGCAAGGGTGGCAAGACTTCATCTTACACACTTTGGAAACGCTGTCATTGTCTCAGAGACTGGTCCCCGGAGAAGGACATCGTGTTTGGTAACGTGGAGGGAGAGTGCAAGAGGAAGACCCTCAAGGAGATGGATAGATGCAGGGGCTGCCGCGATGGCTTCAAACGGGAATGAGTATGAGGATGGCCCAGGGCCAGGCAATGTCCCCTTCTGTTGGTACAGGGTCGTTATGGGTCAGCACTGACTGCATGGTCCCTAACAACATCAACAGCTTTAGAAAGTTGTAGGAAAGACTCAACGAGTTAACAAATAGCAAGGGACTCAGAGTGGGTGTTGAGCGAATGTCTTTTCAGCCACTGAAGTAGAGAAGCACCCAAGGGAGGAAGGCCCCTAAAGAGATGGGGGGACACAGTGGCTGCAACAATGGGCTCAGGCACAGGAACACTTGTGAGGGTGGCGCGGGACCAACAAGTGTCTCCTTCGGGCACGCAGAGGGTCGCTGTGGGTCAAGGCGAACTCAACGGCACTCAATTGCCACCACGTTGATAACCTGTCTTCAAAAGTTCTACCACAGAAAGTCTGTGTTTGCAAAACGGTGATGGCAACCTATGTACAAACACGCTGGAAACCATTGCTGTACGGAATGTTAGAAGAGCCCCCAATAAAATGATCTAAAAAGATTCTACTACGTAAGTTCAGTACTGCATTAGAAGTTATAACTTTTGCTTGAATAAGAGTAGGAAATACATGCATTGTTTTATTAAGTTTTCACTCTTTCTGATTGCCTCCCCCACCCCCACCCCCCTCCTGACAGTCCCCTTTTCATCGTTTACTTTCTATTTTGAGAATTTCCTTTAGCCATGCTTTCAGGATAAGTCACCTGCTGACAACTGCTCTTAGTTTTCCTTCCTCTGAGAATGTCTTAATTTCCTCTTCATTTCAGAAAGACATTTTCTTTTTAATTTTTTTAAATTTTTAAATTTTTAATTTTTTTTCAGAAAGACATTTTCACTCGATATAGAATTCCCTTCTCTTTCCGTCACCACCCATTCAGTGGGGGGCCTTGTTCCACTGACGGGGAGAGTTGGGCTCTCCATATGATCTTGATTCTGTGGATGACAGGAGGTTTGCTGTCACTTGGTAGCAACGACTATGCCAGATCTCCACTTAAACTTCTCTCATGCCAGCTTGGGGGACGAAGAGGGATTCCATTACCTCATTACTGCCTGTAGAGGGCAGAAGTCCAGGCTCTCTACTCAGTCCTTGCTTGTGGACTGATGGTTGCCCACCCTTCCTCTCCCCCTGCTCCGCTGTGGTGTTTGGCTAACGCAGAGAATTACTGCCTAAAGTGTTCAACTTTGCTCAGCTGTCCTTTCTCTGATCCTTTGGCTAGAGATAGCAGGGTTTCCTTGCAATTTCAAATGTCTGAACCCATGTATCCACCTATCCATCCATCCACCCAAAGTTGTCCATTTTCTCAGCACCAGTCTGGGATATATAATGCAAACTCACAGCTATGCCGTTCCACAGTCATGAGATTATTACGTGAATGTTTTGACGCCCCCCTCTACATCTTTCATCTATTTATATATACTTATCTATCATGCCCAGGATGTAAAAGCTGTATTTATTAGGATGAATAGAGGACAGTACACCCAGTCGATATTTCAGGAAGTGAAAGGTGTCATTGACCTTTAGGATCGTAGGCTCCCTGATTCTTATGATCTGATCTCTGCCACTGCGAAGTAGAGATGAACCCTTTGTATTTTTTTTTTTAACCAGGCCGACGTCACCCCCTTCTCTGCATGGGAAACAAAGGCGTCTGCAGAGCATCCTGCAGAAAGGGCGAGCATCCCTACCTCCACTGCAGCAACGAGCAACCATGCTGCCTCCAGTCCTACATGAGGATAAGCATGGTTGGTGGAGAGGAAGACAGCGAGTGGGCCCAGGGGAACCACTGGCCGTAAAGAGCTGGAGTGCTGCTGACCACCACCCTCCACTCCTCTGCTTGCTCTGACCTGCGGTCAATACCCCTTATTAAAACCCACGCACTTGCTAGGCTTGCTGGTCTTTCCTTCACTGGGCATGACAGAGAAAGGAGATGGGGTTTTACCTGGAGAGAGCGCTACCCCATGATGGATGTAACTGTGAGGGAGGAGGCTGGAAAGAGTGAGATTGGAGTGAGTCTAAAGAAATCAGTGAGGACGGTTGAGAATGGACAGGAGTCCAGCGAGGGAAGGTTGAAGGATTTGGGCAGTGCCATATCTGGTTTTATTTTTTTTAATGAAAAGATCATTTTATTGGGGGCTCTTACAGCTCTTATAACAATCCATACATCAATTGTATCAAGCATCTTTGTACCGATGCTGCCATCATTCTTTTCTAAACAGTTACTTTCTATTGAGCCCTTAGTATCAGCTACTCTCCCTCGTGACCTCTTGATAAATTATAAATTATGATTATTTTCAAAACAAAACTAAACTAAAAGAACAACGCAAACACACACAAATACCAAGTCAAAGCAAACCGCCCCGCTCCCCACAAATGCCCACAGGGAAACCAACAGCTGCTTTCTCTTCCACAGTGACCAGTGTGTGCTTGTCTGGGGCCAGCCAGGCTGTGCACTCCAGGAGTGCAGGGTCAAGGGCACAGGGTGGGTGTTGGTGAACTCCCTGGTCAACAGAGGGTTGAGGGAAGTTAGAGA